AGACCCGGGAACACTGGCCTTGTAGTTGCAATTCTTACCTACTTGGCTGCTCATGCGGATAACTAAAGAGATAAGCGGACGAATATATTCGCGCAATCTCGTAACGACAAATTTGATATAACTGTTTGTCTGCAATGATGCACAATAAAGCTACGGTAGGTAAAGTATTCCTTAAATTTTAATCGGTCTTAAACACTTTGCAACATGCTTTTTTTCTACCACTTTTCCAGTCTTTCTGTTATTCATTGTTTTTTTTATGAAATTTGCTTTTAACAAACTACTGTTGGTAAATGTTCTATCCATATCCATGATGAATTTTACTTTTGGTTTGTTTTTATTTTATGATATTTTTTTAACTTTATTGTCTAAACGAATGTTTATTATTTCTGTCGTTGTTATATTGCTGTTATTTTTGTTGCTGTTTTTGTTGTTAAGTTGTAAAATTTAACCGCTCCGGGATACACTTAGATGATGTACCAACAAGCATATTTGCCGCATAACAAGATGAAAAGGTTGTGGTCGGCTAGTTGATTTTTCCCTAAAACACTTTATTTTGTTTTGGTTTATTTCCTTTTATTAACATTTATAATTGGGCCCTTTGTGGTTGTTTTTTATATTCCCAACTAAACACAAAGGGCAACAATAATAACAACAACAATAATAATAATAATAATGGCAATCATAAGAATAAAAAGGACCAAATATGAGTTTACAAATGAAAGCTACTCCATTTGTTGGACGTTTTTCAAATCTGTGATGGTCAAAACAGAGATGAAGAGCGACGAATAAGGTTAAATGTAAAGTTTCCCTATCAATCCTTGTAGAAAGTCTAAGTAAAATCTATCTTTAAGAAGCATTTTATAACAAAATTTCCTTAAACGAAATCTGTGCTAATGTATGTTTAGATTAATGTGAATTGCACATTTTATAAAATTGTATCAGGATATTATAGTCGAGCAATACCCTACATTAGTTAGCCTAACACAATTCTTCAACAATTTTTATAACAAACTGTTAAAAATTAAATTTCGTACTTTGCTTGCATGTAAAGATATACATTTCGAGAAAACTTTTATAAGGCGTGCGATCCAATAAATCCATAAAATAATTAAAAGCGTTTTTCAAAATGTAAGACGGTCTCCAGCCAATCAAGTTTTTCATAAAGATTAAAAAAAAAAAAATTGTGTAAACATCGGATAAATGTCTCAGATCTTTGTTGCACTAATGAAACAAAATTTCGGTATAGAAAATTTACTTCCGAAAAAAAGTCGCTTGACTTTTCGAAGAAATATTGTATGATTTATGACAGGTAAAGCACACACATTCAGTTGGTAATATATGTTTCACTCTTTTCTATTCACTATTTTATTCATTATTTATTGAAAGAGGCATTTTTTTAACCAGATAAGCTATACTTTAGATACTGTAGCGTTGAAAAAGAGTTGACAACTTTTTCAAACCATTTATAACATATCAGAGCATAGAAGTTCTTATTTCCTAAATCCATGCCGCTTTACAGACTAAGTTCTTAAGATCATGAGTATAGTTACGAAAACTTTATATAATTCTTGAAACAACAATATTATCGATATAGTCGCCGGTACACATGCAATTTAAGTTGTGAAATTAAAAATCTATATATTGTTTAAAAGGAATGTTAACCGATAGAGCTTGAGTTGGATTTAAGTAGAAGTTCCTATCGTATACAAATCGGACAGAATGGGATGGGTAACAGTAGGTTGCTTACAGCAAAATGATGAACGCAATAGCCAGTTCGTTTAAACCAATGATTTAAGTGGAAGTTTGTTTAATTTTTGCCGAAACTATAAGCAACAACTAGCATGAGCGTGCTTGCATTTCAACAAAGCAATGGAATGAATATCGAACTAATTATAATTTTATGCACTTTCTATGTATATAACCATCATATTCGATACTAAATATATGAAATAATGAGAGATTTGCTCTGCTATTTATTGATCACTTTATTCAATTTTAATTAATTAAATCTTGATAGTCCTAAAATATTACAACAGGATCTATATTTCATATTTCCTCTTAACGTAAGACACTTTCGGTTGTTTTTAATAAAAAATTATCCGAGATTTTTTTTATTTCTTTTTATCATATGTTATAATTATAACCGGAAGCTGAACTAAGTTTGTGAAAGTCGAGTGGTATTAACAGCACGTGCTAAAAAAAACCAAATAAATCCAACATTTTTTTTCATTGTGTGTGTGCTTGTGTGTGTGCATGTAGTATTGGTCCCCTTATGCTTTACACCCAAAAAAACGACCTTAGATACTCGAAAAGAACAACACGCGTAATCTCATTATCGCTAGTGCGTCCACAACGTTTTTGGTTTATTTGTTCAATGTTGCGCTGTATGCTGTGAATGCTGCTCTCATATAAACAATATTTATTATGTTGCTAATTGTTCTCAAAAGACAGACATTACTATTATTACTGAAGAGCAGAAAACACCAATAGCGAAAATAATAATAAACGAACACACGCTCATTTGCAGACATATTTAACGGAAAGGTAAAGGAACAGAAATTACGTGTGCAAATGCGTGTGTGGGCTCCTATGTTATAGAAGCATGTATGAAAGATAGGCAAAGCGTATATAAACGTGTATCTACTTGGAAGACAATAGAAAACATACCCATATATCCAAACGTAACAGTTTCGCGTATATTGTAATTAGTTGCCGAAAAAGAAATGAATGTTAACCATAAATAATAAGCACACATGTGTGCTGAAACATGCGAATCTTGTAAGAAAACGAAAAATAATGAACCAGATTATACCCCTACAATGGTTTTATTAACACATTCATTAGCAGATTTTTTGTGTGTTTTTTATGTAGCCTCCTTCATTGAGATTTCGCTTCGTACGCAAGAAAATGAAAACTTCGGTTTCTTAAATTATGCAAACAAATAAATTTTCTTTAAGGAGGTAAGCCACTGCGACAGTCTTTTTAACTTTACAAACAATTTTTGAGATAGAAGAACGATAGCTAATAAACTAATGATAACAGAAATGAAGTTTTTAAACATATATTAAAGTATAAAGAAAAAAAATTTTTTTTGGGAAATATTAAAAAATGGTAAAACCGAAGTCATGATCACGGGGCATGTTTAATATAAGCGACTCCACGACACACTAATGCAGCTAATTCAAATCCAAATGCAAAAAAAAAAAATTTGTATAGTTAAAAAAGTAGAAGAGAGTTTTTAAAACTCTTAATTTTTTGTGATTTCCGAGTATTCGAATTGAAAAATTCACTTTTAGAAAAGCCAATCTTTTCTTAATAAATAATCTTGAAATTAACTTTTTGAAAATTCCGCTCGTCCTTTTCCTCAAAATACTATTGTTAAAGATCCTGTGAAAAATTCGAACAAAAATAATGAAAATTATTGGAGGAAAACTTCAAGCGCCTGCACAGTGCCATGTTCGGCAAATCAAACTATTAGGCCATTTAAAATTTTGCCAAGCCCACAATCATCTTTGTATATCATTCTCGAGTAGTTAACACAAAAAAAAAGGATTTCTTCTACAATTTCCAGTGGCTTCCTTCTTTAAGGAACTTGCGAAAATTCTCTTGCATGAAGAGAATATTATACTTTTTAATTTGATGAATGGAGAGGATATTATAGTTTTAATTTTAATGAATTCTTAATACCAGTAGGTATAATAAAATTCAAATAAATATGAATAGAGGAAATAAAAATAAATAAATGTCGAAATATTTTTTGGATCCAAGTACTATTTGGCAATGTTTTTATTGTCGACTAAACTAATGTTGAGTTTAGCTCAACGTTTGCGCCTTGGGAGAATGTACTTAAGAAAAAAATAAACTTTTAGTAGTTTAAATCTCGGAGATTCTATTATAAAGCACTTTTTAATCTCAAAGAATATTGTTACCTTCACCACAAAAATTTCAATCTTCTTTATGTAGCAACATGTACTGCCTGATGATTTATTTACTTACCGGTCCGTGTATGTATTCTTGAGATTCCTTTGGCTCAAAATGTGGTAGACAAAACTAATAAACTGCCTTGTGGTGCTATCAAAAGATCAACGAGCAAAAAAATTACAGTCGTCTACGACCGAACATTTTATACCCAATATCTTTATTTTAAAAAGACTATAAAAAAAAAAATAAAAAAAAAATGAAAAAAAAAGAGAGAAGAGTTCCAAACTCTGCAATATTGAGTGATCACAACGGATTTTTCCCAGTCTTGTGGAATGATGAAGATTCTTATGATATGTCTACTGCAGTCCAGGGATATTTTCAGTTTATGTGCGCCATAGGCACATGTTCATGTTTGCCGATTTGATCCGTTTTCTTTATCAATATCCAGATCTTTGTAAACGAAAATATACTTACCATAGATTTTACAGGGATAGACAGGCGGACATGTGTGTCGAAGTTTGATGCTGGTGAAGAATATACATATTTTATAAGATCTCTGAAGCTTCTTTCTGGACGTTGCATACCTCTTTTTTTAAATGAATATACTCGCGGTCTTCGCTTATGCATTTAAAAAACAACTTATAGCATATTTTTATCGATACTATGTAAAAACGTAGGTGATAGTGATCGTAATAGACGCGTCTTTAATTAACAAAAGGCTTTACAGATGTTATATATTTTCTTGCGGATTCAAAATCCATCCCAGTAAGGCTTTACTATAAATAATAAGAACGAAATATTCTACAGTTCATGCGACTTAAATATGTAATGCTTTACTTTGTTCTAAAAGAAAAGCTAGTTTAAATCACAACGAATTCCGTGAAAAGAAGGCAATTTTGTTAGTGTAGTAGAATTCTATTTAAAGTTCTTTTGTGGCTTGACGCTTCCTCTTCTCAACGTCGATCTACTTCGACTAGATTGCTTAGCAAAAAACAATAAGAAATTTCGTAAATGAAAAAAAATATTTTTAAAACTTTTTTAGATCTAAATAAATAAAGATAATCTATTTCTATTTCTAGCATTCGCTTCAAGAGAACGAGTTACCTGAAGTCACACTGGCTCACCCTAAAGCCAAAGAATGGATTGTTTCAATGGCTAAAGACAATTATCAAGAATTAGCCAAACTGACCAAGGAATATCCTGAACTCGTTAAACTGCAAGTAAGCTTAAAAAACAAAATTAATTTTCTACAGCTTATTTTGCTAATTACATTCAAAAAATTAAAAGACAAATTTTTTTTATTATGTTTTTTTTTATGTTCCTCTAAAAACAAACACCGTTCATAATCTATCATAATTTGTTAATTATAAATCAATCTTTTTCGAGTTAAAATTCTTTTTAGAAAACACGAAAAACGAACCAATTAAAGCATTTTAGGAAAACAATAAATTAAATATAATTTTAACAGTTTATTAAAAAATTCCAATTTTTCCAAATATTTATGAGTATTTTCCAAAAGATACCTTGCCTCATGTGACCAACTATAATATTAATAATATTTTCTTAAACACCAAAAGCGAAAAAAAAAAAATCGGCCATCAGTTCTCTTTTTATGGAAGACTTTTTAAATAACTTAAATGACTATAAATCTTTTACCACCACTTCTAAGCTAACAACAGGAAACAGCGAGAGAGAGAGAGAGAGAGATAGAGAGAGAGAAAGAAAGAAAGAATGAAAGAGATAGAGAAAAAAATAAAGTATAGTTTCATAACCTTAACTCGCCCCTAAAAATTTTCATAACAGCAAAGAAAAAACATTAATAAAAACAAAAATCAAATAAATAAATTTTTTTCGTAAAGGCATCAGTTTTTTTATACGTATAAAGAGTGCACTTTTCTCCAACATTCGACTGCATACATGCACACATTCATACATGTCTTGTTGTCTCTCAATTACCACGGATCTTAGGCAGCTAAACAAGCGCATAATTCATTTCTTTTTTCGTAAACATTTTTTCATGCATATAAATATATACAGACAGCTCACATATATCTGATGATATCGCCACGCAGCCATTACTTTAACTCAATCGTCATCATCGTTATATTTCGGCTTGAGCTTCTTTTTCTTCTTTTATTTTTGTGATTTGATTTATAGCCCCCTTCAGACTGTGTTTGTGTTGTCTAGTTCAGGGGAATTATTTCATACTTATGGAACATTCACATGTACAATCATGTATTTTCACCAAAAATTATACAACACATTACAACGATTTATGGAAAATTAGTGGCAGCATAAACTAATTGGATCACATTACTTTCAACTTATTCCCGGAAATATTTTAATATTCCACATTGCAATAACAACTCTCCTTTTCCCACTTCTTGTTCAACTCTTTCTTACAAATCTTCAGTCTCCGTGTCTCTAAATATGTAAAAATTTCTTATCAGACTTATAAGGCGCTTGCAATTCTTCGTTTCACTGAAATTGCAACGAAACGGAAATATATATAAATCACAACATTATATATTTCGTCTTCTCTTTCCACTAATCTCGTATATACATTTGTTCGTCTGTATGTGAGTGCATGCGCAAAATATACAACTATATATCGCTCCCAAATTGACTTAATTCCAAGGAGGCGAAAACATAAATTTCTGTCACAAAATAATTTTTCTGCTTGCGATTATTATTAAAATTAGTTATCTGTCATCTTGTTCGTAAACAGATTGATATTGTTTTAATTCTTTGAAAGTGGGAGGTTGATTAAGTGTTACAAAGAAAAGAAAAAAAAGGGAGAAAAAAACAGCAAAGAATATAAATTTATTTTATTTTGAAAGTAAAATATATTAATTTTTTTTCTAAACTTTTAAATTTGAAAAATATTAAGAAATGCTTAAATTTCATAAATTCTTTAATTTTTGAAGAAACTGCTTTTTACATTAAGCAGATCTAAACCTTCCCCTCCAGCATCATAATCTAACAAGAGATATATATTAAGCTGGATGTGATGATCTCATAACATGCACAAATTCGACTGTCATAATCATACTTATTTTACATAAATGTGATCGTCAATGATTATACGCAATATACGAATTTTCTAAGTAAAGCACATACAAACGCTTTCCTACATTTGATTGCAAGTGAAAATTTGGTATAAGTTACTCAAGAATATAAGCTTGTTACATATTCGTCATGAATACTTGATTATATAAATTGGTTTTTAGTTAACCCATATAGCTTATAATTTACAAAAATCTATGCGATGATCTCTACGATTTAATAGTCTCAGCTAAGTTCCACTAAATAACGACGAACTTATAATTAAAAAAAAAAAAAAATCCTTTGATTTGAAAAACGAGTAAAAATATTAGAGTGTGCCCAGACTTACCGTTAAATACCATACACCACTTTTCTTAATATAATTATTCATGTAAATACTCTTCAAAATAAGACGCAATGTGGGAAGTGGTTGAAAAAGTGGTTCGATCCGAACCACCTTAAATAGTGCTCATCCCTGTGGACCAAGCACATCTATATAACAAATTTCATCAAAATATCTCAAAAATTACAGCTTGTAGGTTGAATACAAGCAAGTAAGATAGACATACAGACAATGTTGAACCGTTTCAGAGGGTGATTCTTAATATTCTTCTTTAAAATCACAAAGTTTAGGGTGTAACAATAACTACTTATCACTTAAAGTTAATTTTTATTATATCATAGCTGGTAAAGGCTGGTAACGACAAAGCGACCGGCTAAACTGTTAATTATTTCGGTCTTTTTCGCGTAAATAAGCAATTTCACCTGCGCGACTACAGAAGTGGTAGATCCCAATTTTAAATTCACTTTCTCATTAAACTTTACTATGCGATGAACCTCCCCCTGCTAAAAATAATTGATGAATCTTCTGCGGGTGGCGGGGAAATAAATTTCTGGTCAGTTTCGAATTTGAAATACGCCTAAGCAAGTCCGTGTCCATTTGTCGGTCTGCCGAACATTGTGGTATCTATAGTAAATATTCTCCCATCCGCAAAAATGAAAGTATCACCTGCAAATTTGCGCAACAATTTGAAATTGAACCAAATCGGTCAAAGGATACACCTACAACGCCCACGCGCCTATACAACAGAAATTGTGAACGCGATAAGGAAAACGTATACACCATACGAATTTAAAATTTATTTCAGACAATAAAAAAATCAGCTGCGCCCCTCCAATATTGTAGAATATGAAAATTTAGTTCTTTTCCTTTGTTTTAACCTTTTTTAGGATAACAGTGATGGATGTAAAAGATTCTCTTACAACCGAACATAATTTTCTTACTTGCCTCACTTTTTTGTTTTTAATTCCTAAGGAAGTTTGAAGGCTTGCCTTGTATTCCAGGCAAATTGCTAACTAATTTCTTTACTAAACTTCTTATTATTAGTTTTATTACATTGTACAATAGATATCCACGTTCACATCGATGTCAGGAAATTCTGTCGGGATGATATAAATTTGCAATAGGCAATGAACACTTTATATATTTTATAAATTATTTAAAACGATTCAAACGATTTGTTGAACATTGCTGAATACTAAAAAAAAAAGTTTATAATTTTTTTGCTTTTTTTGTTTGTTTCTAAACTTATATAATATAAAATAATGTTTTTACGAAAAATATTGCCAATTACTGGTCAACAAATATTTGCGTTATTATTGACAATCAAATGAATTTATTCGAATTTTATTTACTTACTGAATGAGTAAAGCTCCAACTTTTGTAAGAATTAAGTAAGAATGATTTATTTAACTCACATATACAAACTGTTTGCCTCTTGATTTCGATATAATTGGTAAAAAATTGATATTCTCTTTTCTTTCTGGCCATGGTTTGTTCAAATATCTAGCAATTTCTAAGGAAAAAAGATGTAATTTATAAATTAATTAATTATTAAGAAAGAAATTCCGAAAAAGTGTTTGGTTTGAATTTTAATCTTAAACAGTGCACAACAAGAGTCATAAGTCGTTTAAAAACGTTTGTGTTCAAACAGATCTTAAACATCAATTACTTAGGGCAAATAGGTTAATACTAACGCTTTTCGTTAATTGCAAAAAATCTGAATTTGTGATTCCAAAATAATTTTCAAATAAAAAATATTTGCTTATAACTCTTATCATTGCTTTTGCTATAATAAAAATTAAAAATCGTCTGTCATTGTGTTTGATTTTAAAACATTGAATATTTCGTTTATTATAAGCTTAAATCAAATTATTTTTTTACAATAACAATTTTACCGACTTTCCTTTTAATAAATAAAGAAAAAAATAGGCGAAGAAATAAAAACATACTAAATCGGCTTGAAATATATATACTTTGCGCAATCACTTTTGAAAGTGCAACAATTGAATATATATGTGAAGCGTTCGGCGAATTACAATAAAAACAAAGCCATTTTTTGATGAAAGTGATTTATTTAAAGAAAAGAAAATTTTGAATGTTTTATATATTCCCAAAACGAGTGCAGTAGTTTTGTGTATTTTCCACATATATATACGAAGTGCATTAACAAAAAATGCAGATTAATTTCATGCGATGTGTACATTCGTATTTGGAATTTTTTTCTTTTCTTGTTATGTTGGCACAATGTCTTTAACATATGTTGACATTATTAGCCACTTTGCATTTATAGTTTGTTTTTAGCAGTTATAAAGGTACATGATGAATTTTTTCTATCGGAAAAAAAGTTTAAAAACACCTGTATTAAGTTTACTTATAATGTCAACTGTGGCGTTTAACGAATCTATTTTCAGCAAAAAGACTGTTTGTAAGAGGTTCAAGTGATTCACAGAAGATGTCGACATACCTGTTAGCTTACGCTAATGGATATTGCAACGTGATAATGCGCTAACTCACAAATCATTGTTTGTTCGTAATTTTTTGGCCCAAAACCTCCGTAAGCGGTCTTCAGACTTGACCCTCTGGGACTTTTTCCGATTCTCCACAACTGAAAAGACCCATGAAAGAACAGAGTTTTCCCACAATTATGGGGATAAAGCCCAAGAAGCGCGTATACGAAGGATTGCAAAAAAGTCTGGCATAAGTGTATTATATCTATGAGGCGTTACCCAGAAAGAGGCAAAATAGGTATTGATCAATAAATAAATATATTTTTCTCGAAAAGTAAAAAGTTACCTTTTCTTTGAATACACCTATTTTATAACCCGTAAAGAA